TCGCTGGACTCAGGAGACATCTGGTCAACCTGGTCCGCAATCCTCGCTCCCACGGTCTGGGTAACTCTGAGACTCGTGGGGTAAAATATGCTAGAAAAACTTAAGATATTTAATACTATATGAAACAATGAAAGATAAAGATGAATAAACATACCAAAGTAAAATGGGATGAAATAAAATAAGTTAAAGATCTATAAGTTCCGAAAACCCTTAAGTTCTTGCATCGAAACTTATCTAAAACATATATATAAATATATATCCAACTTTCTCTTGTGACATAAGTATATCGATTAAGAAAATAATAGTACTGTATAAAATCCTTAATTTAGTTTTAAAAACATCTCAGAACTTAAATCCTCTCCACTTAGGCGTAACCCCATATCTGATCCGTCAATTCCTTATATTTCGTCAATTCCTGATATCCGTCAATTCCTTATATTCCGTCAATTCCCCTCGCATCACCATTGGTGACACGTCCTCGCAGGTCTCAGTGACGCAAAGTCAATCCGAGCTGCAACCTCGCAGGATTCAGGGGACCTTGGTCAACCTGATCCGCGTCCTCGCAGATCTCAGAGATAACACTTCAATCTGAGCCGCAATCCTTGCAGGTCTCGGGACATCAAGTCCATCCGAACTGCAGTCCTTGCAGGTCTCAGGGGACTATTAGTCAGCCTGAGCCGCAATCCTCGCACCACACGGTTCAGGCGTCCCCGATACACGTGGGGCATAAACTATCTCAAGGCAACTGGGGGGTATCCTATGGTGGGTTTGAAAATCATAATCTGTTATTTACATAAACTTTCAATAAACTGGTTCTGAACTGAACTTAAAATATATCCATTTATATATATATATATATATATATACCAAAATCTGATAAAAACCAAAAGTTATATTTATTCATTTTCAGCCACTGAATATATGCATCAACTACTTAACTAGTTAATTAACCACCTTGCTCTCTACTTGCATATTATTCCAATATTATATTTATACTCTTGTAACACAATTAATCACATGAGCAAGTATAAATAGGTGATGAATAAACAGATAATTAAATGCTCAACTTGCTGAACCTCAGTTCTCGACATACAAGTATATATATATATATATTAACATGCATAATAAGTTTTTCAAATGAAAACCTCAACAAATTTTCAACCATAAGAAATGTCCAGCAATTCTGAAAACAAGGACGCACAAGTAATGCAATGTCTACAGGAAGTTAACCTAATGCTCTGATACCAATTGAAACGACCCGACCCAAATTCCACTTTGAAATCCGGGCCAAATCTTGTTTAAAACTGACACCTAGTAATTGTGGGTCGTAAATGACCAAAATACCCTGAAAACAGTAACATAAACCTTGAGCAGCTAACTCGTGGCTGCGCTTGATAACTGTAGGCTACCTACGTACCCTTACTGAGGGATCAAGCCACACGTAATTCTTTCATTTGTTCCTGACCTGTAACTGGTTTGTTTACTGAAACTCGCTCTAGGGCTGATATTTTTGGTGTATCCGAGACTCCGTTTTACGATCCTTCAAATGTTATATGATTCTGAAATTACCTAGATCAACATACTTGAAATTGACTACGATCCAACGGTTCAAATATATCGAACCCGGAAATCAAACACTAGGCGAGATCCGTTCGGGTTCAAACGTTATCCGAATTAAGATCCGTGAAATCCTACGCGCTCGTGGGGACTAGGAGATTATTCTGGGACTGACTGTGGTCCTCACTCTGCTGCTCACGCACCGCCCACGCATTGGCAGCGCGTGGTGCCTAAAGCGATAACGCTTCGTCGGAAAATCTCAACATCTCGACTCAAAACTCTTATCCTAGGTAAAACACCCTATTTGGAACCACTTTTGTTCTTGGACCTACCCCAAAAACTGGCCGAAAGTGGCCGGAACAGTGACCCAAAAACATGCTAAAATCGAGCTATCTATGCTGGAAATTTCTGAAATCCTATCCAACCAGCAGCTAGAGCATGAAAAATAGCTAGAAATCCATACCTCACTCGTCCAATTTGGTGGCCGGATGACAGAGAACGAAAGCTTGGAAGTTCTGTCAAAAACTGTCCAGCACCGCCTGCTTCACGGATATTTCCGGCGACTATGGCGGCGGATCGAGGCGACGAAGGGCTGGGGTTGGAAGGGGGAAGTTTGGTAGTTCGTTTGGCACTGGTCTTGCCTGAATCGAAGGTCGGAGCTGAGAGAAAACAGCTCCCAAAGTCGGCTCGTCGTCCCCCGAAAACCAGAAAATCTGGGTTTATATAAACTGAAGATTGAAATATTTACGGTTATGCCGCTGAACTTGTTTTGATCGTAACTCCTTCGTTACAACTCCGATTTTAGTCTACTACGTGTCTACGGACTCGTTTCGTCGCGCTCTACGCAAGGTACGATTGAAATCCCTAAATTCTTTCCCGGTCAAAAAGTCAACTTTTAAACTAATAAAATATTCTAGGGGTATAAGTATCTTTTACCAGAATAAATTAATAATTAAATATTAATTAAGGACCGGGTTGTTACATCTTATATTTGGATTTTGTAGGGTTTATATGTAGGTTTTGTGGGGAAAGTTAATTAAAAAGAGTATTATTACTTTACTTTCCTTATTTTCAAATATTTTGCACTCTTGGAAGGATTTCAACTGAAAATCAAATTTTTGAATGAATTTTAGCACAAGGTTAATTCAGAAGAAACTAAAGACATTGAAAATCATTGTATCAAAGTTTCATAATTTTCTACCAAGCCAAATGCTCCAGACTTGGGATAGAACTAAACTTCTTCAAAGCCTTGATGAAGATGTGGTTGACAAAATTTATGTGTCTTTGCCAATCTCTAATGTAAATTGGTTTGGTGTCCTAACCCAAATGGATTCTTTACCATCAAGAGTGCTTATAATATTCAAATGCAAGACAATCCTACTCCCCCTCAAGCTGAGTTACTTAAGAAAATGTGGAAGCTTGAGAACCACCTAAACTCAAGTTCTTTACTTGGCTGCTTAGTAAGGGAATGATGCAAGTCCGAAGAGCAAGGGAAGAGTAGAACTACCCAAGAGCAAGAGAACTCAAAATTGGACTTTTGAAAACTGCATTGCAGTTTTACCAACATGTATTGAATAAAAAAAATATACTTGTGTTTTGTTTAACTCTAGAGCTGAGCATTTTTGCCCAAACTCAGCATTGCAGTTTCTATTTTTGTATTGCAGTTTCTGCTTATGCATTTCTGTTTCCGCTTCTACATTGCAGTTTCCGTTTCTGCATTGCAGTTTCCATTTTAGTACTTTCATCTTGGTTCCTCCATTTTGCTTCAATAAAATTAATATTTGTTTTTGTAGCTGTTTTCATTTTTGTTTTTTTTTAAACATAATTGATATCTATATAGTATTTTTGTTGCAGTTTTTGTGTGAATATGTGTTGAAATCATTTTTACTTTATTTTAAAAAACTATTGATTGTTTATATAAATATTGTATAACTGAATAAATATTACAACATAAAGTTTGGTGTAGTGGTTTATGAGTGAGTCTTCTTTCTTTGAGGCTCAAGGTTCGAGTCCCTTCAATAACACACAATCTTTTTTTAAAGGTCAATAAAGGGTAATGGAGTTGGTCCCTTGCAAATGGTAGCAGGCTGACGACGAGCGGTGGCGGGTGGCGGGTGGCGGGTGGCCGGCAGTCCAGGCGTCTGGAAGAAGTGTCATTATATGTAATTTTGATATGTTTTAATGATATTTTTGTAAAATTAGGTACTACATTTTGGTTTTTGGCGTTATGTTAATTAGATGAAATTGTATTCATACAATGATTTCCCCACTCCTATTTTATCCACTTACACTCCTTTTTTAGTTATAAAAAAAGAGTGTAAGTGGATAAAATGGAAGAAAAAGGAGTGGGGAAATCACCACTCATTTCAAATTAGTAAATTATATTGTGTTTTAAAACTAAAGCTCCCTTTAAATGTTAGGGTGAACAAAGAAATTGAGGTTTAAATAGAAAAACTCAAAAAAAGAAAAAAAAAGTTGTTTTGGTCGTGTATGCATAAGGTCAAAACCCTAGAATAAACCCCTTAGGCGGTTTCCCTCTGAAAAACCAAACGCCCTGTGTTCGCTCCGCTTCTGCAGTTATCAGGTGCGCTCAGTTCGTTCGGCTTCAATAATGGGTCGCAAACTCAAAGACCTCTCCAATCTCAGCGAACCAGAAGCTCAGGAAACCCAAAACGTTCGCGAAACCAAAGCTGAGAGGAAGAAGAAGAAGCAGAAAAACAAAGACCAAGAAGAACAAGGCCAACTAACCCAACTCAGTCCCAAGAGAAAGTTGGAAGAAATTGCCCCTCAAGAAGATAACTCAGATTCTAATAAGAAGAAGAACAAGAAGCATAAGAAATCCAAAGATAAGGAGCAAGAAACCGAAAACATTGTGAAGGAGCCACAGAGAAATGGGGATGCCAACGAAGGTGAATCTAGAGAACAGGTTGTTGTGGTTACTGGGAAAGATGCGAATGAAGCCAAATACAAGTCATTGAATTCCTTTGTGGAAGCGAAGCTTCCGAGTGAGGTTTTGCGGTGCTGTGAGAATTTCAAGAGTCCTTCTCCGATTCAATCCCGGGCATGGCCATTCTTATTGGACGGCCGCGATTTTATTGGGATTGCGAAAACGGGGTCAGGTACGTATTGTGGTTTGGATTTTGGGAGTTGAAATTGGGATTGTGTTGTGAGCTGTTTGGTTTGGCCGAGCTAATTCTGTGTTTCTTTTTGTGCAGGTAAGACTTTGGCATTTGGGGTACCTGCTATTATGCACGTTTTAAATAAGAGGAAGGGCAAGTTTTCGAAGGGCCGAACTCCTCTTTGCCTTGCACTTGCACCCACAAGGGAGTTAGCTCAACAAGTACGTGCTTATTAACCCAAGATGCATTATGTGAACTAGTGTCTGATTCTCATTTTTATTTTCGGTATGGATCATAGAATTGAAATTATATGCTATGCGGTGAGTTGTGTCTCTGAGGTGGCATTGAGTATTTCAGTGATTCAATTCACCTCTTGTAGCATAGGGTTCCAAGATTTCGTTGTTTCCGGAAGGTTTAAATTCTCTAAGATCCTACATCCTTGAAAATTGAGTAAAGCCAGTCGGCATTTATAATCATTGGCCATAGGTATATGGTGATGGGCTGTGATGCTCAGGTTTCTTATGTAATGTTGATGGGATGTTTTGCAGTTATACTTGACCTAAAGGAAACCTAGAAAATAAGAAGGTTGGAAATCAGTGATATCATTATGCTGTAAATTCAATGAAAAAGATTGTATAGTATGTGACAATATATGATCCAGACAATCTTCTCAAGAATTTTATTCTTATCCGAGAAAATGAAATGGGGTATCACTCACATACGTAGTGAGTAGAGATGGTCATATATTCCACTATAATAATACACAGATCAATTTTGAACAGAGATACTGCAAATAGCACATTTACTTACCAGAAAACTGAGAAAAGATGATAACCTTCTTTTACATTGTTGCTCATTAATAACCAATGTTAGTGCTACTCTTATGTTCACATTGATAGGTCAAACCTGGAAAGAAAAAAATGGGTGCTTGTAGTAGTGACATAAACAAGTCTAAGGGCTTAAAAATTTAGTCTTGTGCAAATTAATTTGGAAGTGACAGTTCAGTTAAACAGGGAAGCATATGATCCTGCGGACATTGACGCAAATGTTGTCTCTCATCACAGACATGAGGTGTATTTATTGATTTACTTGGGCTTCTCTCTAGTTTATTGGAAAAAAAAAACCATATATTTGCACAAATAATGAGCTTGGTTTTCATGTCTACATTTCTTGACAAAAATGTAGAAGTCAGTTATAGTTATGCGCTATTTTGTCAATGATGGTGAGTTACTTTTAGCTCTTGGGGTTAGCCCAAGTGGTGAGGGTGTGTGGGGAACGGGTTTGGATTAGGATAGGTCAAGGGTTCCGTTGCTCCCAATGTAAACAAAAAAGGGGAATTGTTTTTAAGCATACAAAGGATTCTCAATATGGGTGGTGTGTCTATGAATAATAGAGTGAAAACAATTTGTGGATTTTGTTACCAGTTTTGAACTTGGTCATACTGATTTTCTTGTTGTTCTTGCACATATTCCTTTTTTAGCTGCTGCTTTGTCATGTGTTTTGTTAATTGGATTAATTAAAGGTTAAGGGGGACTGACCATTTGTTTTATATCCGGTTGCAGATTTCGGATGTTCTGTTTGAGGCTGGGAAACCTTGTGGTGTGATATCAGTTTGTTTGTATGGTGGAGCATCTAAAGGACCTCAAATATCTGCTCTGAAGTCTGGTGTTGTAAGATACTCCATTCGTTTGATTATATATGTCACAAATTTGATTTGATTTGATTTTTCATGAAATTCTTCCTTCCCTTTCATTTAGACTTCACACTTGTTCACAGTTGACACTATATGCAATTGAATAAGAAATATCAGAATCAACCTCAATTTCTAAACTGGATCAGTAATCTTGTGACTTGGGTCATCATGATCGGGTTGGCTCTCTGGATTAAATTTTAATGCTAACTTGTCCTTTGCACAGACATTATGAGGAGACCTATTAATTTCTCCATTATGATCTATGGAATTTTTTATATTTTTGATTGAAAGCTTTGCCTGTAGTTAATTGTGTTAAAATGATGGAGGATTCTATTATGCAAAGCTGATCCTGTACTTGATGTACTCAACAGTTTCCCTCTTTTGCTTTCCCTATTTTGCGGGTCATATAACAACCACGGTATTGAATTTTAATGTTGACGGAAATATGGAGGGGCTGAAGATACTGAAGTGTAGATGGTAATATTGACAAAACATAATATTTGGAGAAATTACAGGGCATTTCTGGTGAAAAGTACCAAAATGAAATATTGGAAAATTGTTGTATCAAATATTGGTACTCATTAAAACTTAAATGTCAAAGAAACACAGTGGGTAGGCAGGATGTAACTGACTGAATCCAAGCTATTCAAAAATGATCTAAGGAATAAGCAACAAGTTCTCATTTGAAAATCTTAATTGTTTGTCTATATATGTGTACTATTTAGATTATATTCTCTAGCACTTTGGTACTGTATTGCATGGTAGTTATAGAGTTTGTGAAGTTTATTTTTCAAATAGAAATATTAGTGGGAGGGAATGAGAGGAAGGAGACAGAAGTTTTTTATTTGATCCGAACGGAGTAGGTTATTTTGTTAAAATGGCTTGGTTATATTTAATAAGAGTGTTTTCATTCTGGCAATTAACAAATTCCTACTTTTGTATAGTATATATTTTTTTATCCATCTGTTCTGCATTTTTGTATCTTTGTATTCTGTAGAGCTTATGTGTTTGCATTGATTATGTGGTTCATCTTCTTATGATTTGTTTCCATACACTCTTCTATGCTCTCAGGACATCGTTATTGGAACTCCTGGTCGTCTCAAGGATCTCATTGAAATGGCTGTGTGTTCCCTGAAGGAAGTATCTTTTACGGTAAGTAACATTGCCCAAAGAAACCTGTTTCTCAATTACCATGATCAACTAGGATCTGCTTTTACTTGATTCAATCATATGTCTGCTCCTTTTCTTATGGTGATTAATGTTGCTGGATTGTCATGAACTAGGATTTGAGTTTAAAAATTGCAAATCAGTCTAGAAGTGAAGCAATTTGAAAATCATGCTTTCCAGTGTCCACTATAAAGATTTATTTAAACTATCTGGGAATAATGGCAATGTCTTTTGGTATGGAAGATCTGGAGATGATCATGGTATAAGCCGATTGTCCCCAAATGTAACATATTAGAATTCAGAGCTAACTGAAAATTTCTTTGTATTAATAAGAATGTTATCTATATATATGGATGGGCGGCCCTATAATATTTTCAATCGACTTGCAACATCAGGAACGAAGTGACTATCTGCTAATGCACTTTAGTTAGAAGTATAGTGAGAAAGCCAGTCCTGAATTGACTGCTTGCTAATGCACTCTATTTTAAAAGTCTAGTGAGAAAGCCGTGACATAGTAGAAGTGATTATTTAATATGACTGTCAACCTGACTTGGTGAAACCAAGCCCCTCTTAGTGTAGTGAGTCTTAACGGATTTCGGAGAACTTATTCTCAGTTTTCCTATCAAATGCATCTTGACATCCTGAAATGCTTCACTTATGGCTGCACTCTTGAGGTTTTGATATCTCATTTGGGTTTGTACAATTGTTTTGCACCATTCTAAAAATCTGATAACACCTACATTTGATTTGATTTAGTTTTATGATGCTAATAGACACTAGTACATTGAATTTGTCATTTTACTTGCAGTTATTTTTTAAATCCGTTTTTGTATTGATTAAATTTCATTGCCTTTGGATGTGAATTTTTATTTATTTTTTTTATATATGGAATATTATAGTAGCTTTATAGATCTCAGAGAAGTGAGATGGCCAGTAATTTTCTGTAGGTCCTTGATGAAGCAGATCGAATGCTTGACATGGGATTTGAACCAGAAGTTCGCTTTATATTGGGCCAGACATGCTTGGGTATGTGATATAGTATTCATAGTTTTCTATTTATCCATCTTTCTTTATGTGTTATAAATACAGTTCTTGTCTAGACAGGATATGGTTGATCACCATTTAGAGCTTAGACTTTTGGTTTCTAGTCTCGGATTGGTTAATCGTTTCAGTTTTACATTTTAAGAAACCTAAATTCGAATCTCTAAAAGGCCTAATCAATGCAATAAATGGGATCAAAGTTGAATAAAATTGAGCATAAGAGATTTTGTCAACACGTCTGCCCTATTAGAAAGAATGGGCGTCCTGCACAGAGAATCTCAACTCCTATATATAATAAATACATAAATATAATATATGGATAGTTCTCTTCTTAATTCCTCATGAGAACCAAAAGGGATCGCATAGTAGTGGATACCCTGCTATGTGGTCTAGTGACTTGAACTATCTAAATTTTAGATCCCATATAAGTATCATGTCTGCGAATAATCATGAAATTGATGAAGTGTTTGACCATTATGATTATCGTCATGAACATTGTTGTTATTATTATTTTTATTATTTCTTTTGTTAATTATAATCCTTGAATGGTGTCCGTAAGAATGGATCATTGAATCACGTTGAGGTTGGACTCACATGCAATACCTCTTGTTTTGTTTTTCTTTTTCAAAAGGCTCTTCATTGTATTGTGTATGTAGGAGTGTTCAAATACCAACTTATTAGTGAGTTGGGCATTAATCACTACGTTTCATTTTTTAGTTCTCCTTAAATGATCATCTCTGCCACCAAAAAAAAAAAAAAAAAAAACAAATCAGTCGATTTGGAAATGCATTAATCATCTAACTGTGATAAAATAAATTTACGAAAGAGTGATTTGGACGAAACAATGAAAGGATTGTGATGCTGATCAAATGGCAAAATGATTTTTCAATTTTTTTGATTCTTTTGCAAGAATGATCCTTGAAGGGAACCTGAAACATGGATGGTTCAGATTTTGTGATCACATCTTGTGGTAGACCCCAGAAAGTTGTTACTGCCTTCTCATTTGTCGTCTTCCTAACCAAGTTCCACAATTTAGCGCCCACATAGTAATAGAGATTCTTTTGACCTGTTTAGATGGAATTCGCAGGCCGACAAAATGGACTTTTAGAATTGAAACATTTGGATGTACTGTCTGCAAATTTGTTTTCCAATCTGTCATGATATTGGTAACATTTTGGTTCAAAGGACATCATGCTGTGTTCAAGTCCTCTAGTTTTGATAAAGGACTCTAATGAAGTCTAAAAGATTTCAATTACTTGTTTAATTAACTTATGAACTACTTTTTTCTCTTGGGTATTCCATAGTCCTATGGAGAAATGATGTGAGGAATTATAAGAACTTCAGTATATGTTACTTAATTGTTTATTCAATTTTTCGGAGTAACCACTCACCTATATTTAGGCATATGTACATATCTGGTAACATGTACAGATTTAGCATTGTTGGTTATCATTATTTTATATGAAAGCTGTTTTTTGTTTTTTTTTAAGAAAATCATATAAATGAAATTGATGTTAAATTATGGAGGGGCCTGGAGGCAATTCAGTTACAAGAGACCTACGAAAATTGGCCTTTGTAGATGTTCTCAAGCCGTAAATAATCAGGCAAAAGGTGTTTTGTAGTCGATAGTATAGAAATCTGAGAACTTACCTAAATGTGAAATAAGAAGCAATGCCTATTTTCACCAGCCGTGTAATTAAATTTGACTTTGTGACATGATTTTATTGGAAAAGAAGGCTATTAAGACTTTACACCACAAGTTAGGTTGTATGTATTTAAGTTTGCTCCCAAGTTTTGGGTGATGTAGGGTCTCCCAAACTTATACCTTATATTTCAATATGTCTGGATTTTTCTAACTGGCTGGGTAAGTTTCGTAGTCTATTTTCATTCTGGTGATGATGATATACATCTGTTGACTGTGTGCAGAACGCCAGATGGTAATGTTCAGTGCTACATGGCCTCCTTCAGTTCATCAATTAGCTCAGGAGTTCATGGATCCCAATCCTGTTAAGGTGCGAACTCTCAATTTTCATGACCTTTAAACAATTTCCTATCCACCTTTGGAAAAGTAATAAACATTTGCTTCAGGTAGTTGTTGGTTCAGAGGATTTAGCTGCCAATCATGATGTCATGCAGATAGTTGAGGTACAAATTATCAACACTTGTGAAGCTTATGTGACGATAAAATGTTTATTTTATTAATTAAATATATGTGTACTGCAATGACACCTTCCCTTTCACGCTCATAGGTCTTGGATGACCGTTCACGTGATGGACGCTTGGTTACTTTGCTAGAAAAATACCACAAATCCCAAGAGTAAGTGTTGGTGCATTATCCCCCGGTATTATATACGTAAGTTGTACCTTAGTCAATCCCTGGCGGATTTTTTCAGACCTTGTGTTGTGTGTGTGTGTGTGTGTTTTGTGTCACGGAATCCACTTGCTTTACCTGTCTGTATATATCACAAGAATGGACCTCCTTCAATTCATAGTTACTTTCCTGATCATGTATTTTGATTTCCTGTGTTGCTATCCTGCTAATACTGATGTTACACTGCTGACCAGGAACCGAGTTTTGGTTTTTGTCTTGTACAAAATGGAAGCTACTCGTGTTGAAAATATGCTGACAAAAGGGTAAACTCCTTGATACATGGTGATAAGGCAGGTAGTTGTTGCCGTATATACTGAAGATATATGAGGAAAGCTACTGATGGTTTTTATTGCTGTTTATAGGGGTTGGAAGGTTGTTTCTATACATGGTGATAAGGCACAAACCGAGCGTACTAAGGCACTATCTCTATTCAAGAAAGGAAGCTGTCCCTTGATGGTATGTTGTTCTAAATAAGAGATCTATTTACATGCCTAATTGTAGTTTAGTAAAAACACAATGACCTCCCTAGGGGTGCATCAAGCAAAGTACATTGCTTCAAATTGAAACTGGAGTAAATTTACATGCCTAATTGCAGTTTAGTGAAAACACAATGACCTCCCTGAGGCACATAAAACAAAATACAGTGCTTACCTAATTGATGATACTTATTAGTCTCCTAAGCAGGGATCCCTTTCTTTAAGATAAACAGTCCACATTATTAGGGCCTGCTCTGTAATGTGATCCAATGACATGAACTGTTTAACTATTAGATTATCATCATTTTATCCGAAACACTGTATGCATCAGAATATTTGGTCACAATTAGATGACCAAATCGTTTCTGATTTTGTTGATTTTTGTAAGGATGATTCTTGAATGTAGGTCTAAGAAATGGGGACAGTTTACATCATGAGATCACATTGGGAGTGAGTTCTGCATGCATCATTTTCTTTTCTTAAAATGAGGGATCCTCTCTAGCAGGGACTCCTAATTTGTATCCAGACTTTTTGAACTCAGTTAGAAAATTTGAAATAAGATAAATTGAAAGAATAAATTTTTACTAGAATGAAACTGGGAAGATAATGATGATGACAAGGACCCCCAAATAGCTTGGACAAGCAAGGTGAGTATGTTTACCAAAACAAGGGAATGTTTTTGTATTGTCGTGGAAGTCCAGGGAGGTTTGTAGAATCCACTCAACTATTTGTATGGTTTTCTTTTAGCAGATTTAAAATGTAACTTGTGATGGGGCAACTTGTGGTTAGCACACTCTTCTATTTGGAAGGACCTGTCTGAGTTAGTGTTTGAAGAGATATTTCAAAATTCTTCTAGCTATATCTGTGAACTGTGCTAAAATGTAGTGCATTTGATCTGAAACATATTTCCAGATAGCTACTGATGTGGCTGCTCGAGGATTGGATATTCCAGATGTCGAAGTAGTGATTAACTATAGTTTTCCCCTAACTACTGAGGATTATGTCCACCGAATTGGACGGACTGGACGGGCTGGTAAGAAGGGTGTTGCTCATACTTTCTTCACACATCACAACAAGGTAACACTAAATATATTAAATCTATATTTTACAAGTTCTGTAGAACTTTTATATGAGAAAAATTCTAAGCCCAACTACTATCTATTATGTGACTATTGCAGGCACTTGCTGGGGAGCTGGTCAATGTTCTCAGAGAAGCCAAGCAAAATGTGCCAGAAGACTTATTGAAATTTGGCACTCATGTTAAGAAAAAGGTATGCATTTGGTTCTCTTTCATACTCTTCCCTGCTGCATAATTCACATTCATGTTCCCATTGTATGTTTTCTTTTAGTCTGCTTCCATGACTGGCATTTTGACCATCTTTTTGGTTTTCTGGTTTTCTTCTTTCTTTGGGGTATTGAAATGCAGGAGTCCAAACTATATGGGGCTCACTTCAGAGAAATTCCTGTGGATGCTCCAAAGTCCAAAAAAATCACATTTGACAACTCTGATGACGAAAATTAATTCGCTTTCAGATATGAAACCTTTTTTTCACTCCTGTGGTAAGACATAAAGTTGGTCGTGGGATCCTGGCTGCAGGGTTAATGTGCATTGATCTCGCTGGGGACAAGCTTTTTATTTCTTTTATATTGTTCTTGCTACATTCTACGTAATATATGAATAAATTTTGTTCCTTTTACCATTTCTTTTCTTCGTTTTTTGATTTTATTCCCTAAAATTGTAATTCATGGATGCTCAATGAGTATTTATTTTTACAAATTTGTGTAATACCTTGAAACTTGAAGATTGAAAGCTTCACTTGGAATTGGTCGAATTTTAATCTGTTAGGGTGGAAAGTAATTAAATTCAAAACTCATGGCTCATGTTAATAATGATTCCAAATCTGCAGGGAGTTGAGTATCGTTTATACGAAGGAAAAAAAACTATTATGGAAAATGGACACTACAAATAGAATATTTGGATAATATAACTGTTCGTATTTTTGGGAAATTATTTAATTTATATTCATTACGATATTTCCAGGAAAATAATAGAGTTTTGATCTAGAACTATTGTCTTGTTCCTCTTCTTCTTTGGCAACTTATACAAGCCTTGGTCATTATCCAAAAAACCAAAAAAATTCACAGAAAAAGAGAAGAAATGTGAGACTACGCGTTTCTTGTTAGAACTTTCTGCCGTTAGAATTCTCCCTCTGAGTCTGACTGGTTAAGCAAATGCGTTTGTATCACTAGACAATTCACAATTGGTTGAATGAACAATTTTTTAAAATTATTATTTCCCATTTAAGAGAATCTCCCTATTCATATAAAAATCTCGAACAATCTCTTCAAACTAAAATTTTCAAATTGTGGTTTGTTGACCAACGTAGCAATTTAAAGAGTAAAATTTACTACTTTACTATTTTGTACACTCAACAAAGCCTCTTCAATTTAATTAATACAGCACACAAAAAAAATAAATGAATTAAATAAAATATTAAATAAGTATCGAAAGTCTCCCATTCCTTTTATTGTTCATTTAGCCCAGTGTAGGCTTTTTATCGTTCAGGGACCACTTTTGTTAGCGTGCACTCTTTTGTTTTTGTAGAGTGAATGAAGAGTCTCCAATTTTGTGAATGGGTTTGACAAGACTGTTGGAGAAGGTTTTGTTGACGTGGCTCATCTAATTTAATGTCCCAAAGCTTTTCAAGAGGGTATTGGAGATGCTCTAACAAATACAACTACGCATTTTAATTAATTAAGAGGGGTTTTAGGTTTAATGGTCCTTGAACTTTGACCCGATTCACATTTTGGTCCCTCAATTTTCAAAATTATTCCCGTGATCCTTTAACTTTAGTTTCGTTAGGACAAATGGTGCATGACACATGGTGTACTATATATCATATCTTTGATTTTGTTGGTTAAATCGGCCTTAAAATCTAGGCCCTTAGATGGAGAGGAGTGCTGGGAAATGTGATGCAATTGTCAAATTGTCAAATTTCACATTGAGTTTATTTATTTGGAGGGAAGAATTTATACAAGTGCTATCATTATCAGATTGAAAATCCCTATCAGGACAAAATAAAAGGGTAACAGATCAGAAATCACTATCAGGACTAAATAGTGATTGGACGGTGAGAAAATCGTAAGAGATTATATTCATTCACGAACTAGTTGCTGCAGCGGATTGCAGACTGATTCAGATTAATGAAATGACAGAGATGGATGCTGACTGCTGATGATTTTTGAGTGGAACAAATTAAACATTCAGGTACAAAGACTTTGAGCCGTTAGATTTAAATCAACACAATCCCGTGGGCACTGTTATGAAATTTATATCAGTCAACTTGTTCATATGTGGCCACACGTTGTTTTATCAGTCACGCCACTTGGTTTATTTATTGTATAGTTTGGCAAATGATGGACCATTTCAGAAACAAATTTCCTGGTAGTTCACAAAGGAAGAAAAAAAGAAATGAGGAAGCTACAAGGTAATGAGTCTAGTGAAAAAAAATTGACAAGTGCAGTGCAGGTAGAGAAGAACAAAATGATCAAGTTGACCCTTTCTGTGGTAGAATTAAACAGTTGGACCTGGTGCTAGAAATTACAGTACAAAAGGGAAGGCCATTTGATCCACATAAAACAATTTCATTCAAGAATATCAAAATATATCATACAAAATTATCAATACATCATTCACACAACAAAACCATTCTCTTCTAGCAAACACTCTTCTCTATCATCTTTTCAGTTTCAAGTTTCAACCCAAAAGTTAAAGCACTAGCTAGCAGCAGTAGCAGCAGTAGCAGCAGGAGAGGAGATGGCAGAAAGTGTGGTGAGCTTTTTGATTGACAGGCTTGCCTCCATAATAGAAGTTGAGGTGAGACTACTGTCAGGGACCCGAGCAGAGATGGAGGACATCGTCGAGGAGTTAGAGCGCATCAAGGCCTTCTTAAGGGTTGCTGATGCAAAGGAAGACAGTGACCCCCAGCTCAAAGTGTGGGTTAAACAAGTTAGAGATGTGGCTTATCAGATTGAAGATGCGCTTGATATATTCAGGCTTTCTCATTCATGTGATCATAGGCCTGGATGCAATGTTTCCCTTCATGAGCTCTCTTGCATGATTAACAAGTTGAAAGCTCGCCGGCGAATTGCTACTGATATTCAAGGCATAAAATCAAAAGTCAGAACCCTCTCCGAGGGACATCAGAATTACAAACTTGATGTTGACCTTGGCTCAAGCAAGGTTCAGAAACATCAGTACAGTCAAGGGGATGCTCTTTTGCTGGAAGAGGCTGATCTTGTGGCAATCGGCGAACCTAAAAGGCAGCTGATTGAGTTGCTTATGCAAGAGGGTGGCCACGCTGGACGCCAGGCAGTCGCGGTCGTTGGGATGGGAGGGCTGGGGAAAACCACCTTGGCCAAGCAAGTCTATAAGGATGCAAGAGTTAAGAAAAATTTCAAGGTACATGCTTGGATCACTGTTTCTCAATCATTCAAGATAAAGAAGCTCCTAAGACACATAGTTGAAAAAATCTTCAAAGTTATCAGGAAACCAGTCCCTGAAGAAGTTGATAGGATGGACACCAACCAGCTAAGAGAAAAAATAAAAAAATTGCTGCAGCACAGTAAGTACCTGATTGTTCTAGATGACCTTTGGCACATAGATGCCTGGAATGTCATCAATCATGCATTGCCTGACAACAAAGGTAGTCGAGTAATGATCACTACTCGTAATGCCTTTGTAGCCTCTGTAGCCTCTGCCTCTTGCATGAACAACCACGGTATGGTCTACCATTTAGAGCCCTTATCTCCGGAAGAGTCTTGGACTCTTCTCTGTAGGAAGACATTTCAGGAAGAGTCATGTCCTCCAAATTTGGAGGAAATCTGTCAATGCATCTTAAGGAAATGTGGGGGACTGCCCCTTGCAATTGTGGCAATCGGTGCTGTTCTAGCTATGAAAGACAAGAAAAACATAGAAGATTGGGCTGCCGTTTGTGGCAGTATTGGTGCTGAAATTGAGGAAAATGACCAACTTGACAACATGAAAAGGTTGCTGTATCTCAGTTTCAGTGATTTACCATACCATCTCAAATCTTGTTTCTTGTATCTGAGTATCTTTCCTGATCTCTATAAATTCGAGTATATGAGATTAATTCGATTATGGATTGCTGAAGGATTTGTTATTGAAAAGGAAGGAAAGACACCAGAAGAAGTTGCAGAGAGTTACCTTAAGGAGCTACTGGACAGAAGTTTGATCGAAGAAGAAGAAATAGCTACCGATGGGAGGGTCAAATCATGTCGGATCCATGATCTTTTACGGGAGATTGTCGTTTCGAAGTCTAGAGAGCAAAACTTTGCAGCAATACAGAAAGAGCAAGGCACAATGTGGCCCGAAAAAGTTCGACGACTATCAATTGTTAACACGTTGCAGAACGTACAACAAAAGAGGGTTCCTTCCAAACTTCGTTCGTTGCTCATTTTTGGGGTAGAAGATTCACTTACCGAGTTTTCAATACCAAAATTGTTTCCTAGAGGTCTTCCGCTGCTTACTGTATTAGACTTGGAAGGTGCACCTCTAGAGACGTTTCCAAAAGAGGTTGTCAACCTTCTTCTGCTCAGGTATCTTAGTTTGAGGGGTACCAGGGTGAAACAAATTCCAAGCTCCATCAAGAAGCTTCAAAACCTAGAGACCTTTGATCTTAAACACTCTCATGTCGTTGAGTTGCCTGCTGAAATTGTGAATCTCAAGCGACTGCGCCATCTCCTGGTATATCGCTATGAAGTTGAATCTTATGCACGATTTAATTCCAGATATGGAGTGAAGGTTCCTGCAGGAATATGTGGCTTACAATCGCTCCAAAAGCTGTGTTTTGTAGAGGCAAATCAAGACAATGGGGCTTTAGTGGCAGAGCTTGGGAGAATGAATCAACTGAGAAGGTTAGGCATTTTCAAGTTGAGACAAGAAGATGGGGTCACCTTATGCTCATCTATCGAAAAGATGCGCAACCTTCGGTCATTGTCTGTATCTTCAGTGGAGAAGGACAAGATAATTGATCTGACACACATTTCTTGTCCTCCTCAATTTCTTCAGCGACTATACTTGACGGGGCGTTTAGAAAGCTTACCGCATTGGATTTCTTCTCTCCAGAACGTGGTGAGACTGTTTCTGAAATGGAGTCGGCTAAAGGAGGATCCTCTAGTGCATCTTCAAGGTTTGCCAAATCTAGTACATCTTGAACTCCTTCAGGTTTATGAGGGAGACTGTTTGCATTTTAAGGCAGGAGGGTTTCCAAGCCTAAAGTTACTAGGTATTGACAAACTAGATGAACTGAAATTGGTAATCATGGATGAGGGAGCAATGCCTTGCCTAGAAAAGTTAATTATCCAGAGGTGCAGATTGTTGAAGAAGGTATCAGGCATTGAACATTTACAAAACCTAAAGCTGCTCGAATTTTTTGACATGCCAGACGAATTAATAAGGCCATTTCATCCAGATGGCGGGGAAGATCATTGGAAAGTTTCTCACATTCCAGAGGTTTACTCTTCGTATTGGAACGTTGGGGGTTGGGATGTTTATTCATTAGAGATCACTGATGGGGAGAGTACTAGTCAACAAGGTACTACTTCTGCCATGAGGAGGCTGGAACCCAATATTCTATGGAAGGCTTAGCTTTTGGTTCTGCCTTATAATTACTAACTGCAAATGATAGAATCACTGGAAGCATGTTTTATCAGAATTGAGCTTCCAACTACTGCATACATATGAATCTTCTAACTTCAATTCTTGTATTCTTTTATATCTTTCTCTACCCAAAAAGAACAT